GCACCAGCACCAAGGCTCACTGTGCATGTGACGCACAGGGCCAGCATGAGGCACACACTGCCAGCAGTTTGCAAGCTGGAAATTGTTCTGCATGCAGCACAAGGAGGTCAGGGCACGGGCTGTATGTAGTGCCCCATCCAACCCCTTGTGTTGTGTGTGGCATGCCCAGTGCTGGGTTATGCAGCACATGGGGGCAAGGACCAGTGCATGTGGGTGGTCCAGTGACCCAGGAATCAAATACAGCCCACAGGCCATACATTTCACACCCCTGTTCTAGAAGAAAAGACACAGAAGTGGAGGCTGGCAAGGAAAAAGGTAATGTCTCAGAGCTGCCAGGAAGCCAGGAGGAGAGAAAAGAAGAGCCAAGAAGATGTGGAGCTTGACATTTTTTTTGAAACCCACAAGTCTGATATAAATATGGAGCCCCCAGAGCAAGACCCTGGGGCAGCAGTTTTGCAGGAACCCCTTCAAATGAGTGTATGAGAGTTGCACATTGGAGAATTTTTGGTATGATTATTAAAACTCTGCAAGGGCAACTTGGTGCCAGCATGCTCATTATCTGAGTAAGCTGGCTGTCCTACAGGCTTTAATGCAGATTAAGATTTAATATGTGCTGCCAGCTGGTTATAAGAACAATAAAAAGCAGAGTGCACAAACTAGATGCATTAAAATGTATTCAATTTTAACAGCACTTTCCAGACCCTTAATTGCACTCCAGAAAAGAGAGGCAGAGGATGTTCTACAGTTCCTGCAAATCAGCTGTTTAAAGGAGCTTGTGCAAACTAGTGCACTGATAGAGATTTTTGGGGCTGAAAGCGATAGCCAATTTTTAAGGAGGCATATCAGCTGACACTGATCCGATTTCTGATACGCAGCCCGGCAGCTTGAAGAGCAGTGTCTGGCTGGTAAGTCTGTTGTGGTGGAAGGGGCGGGGGAAGGAAAGGGGCATGGGGTGGGGAGGCAGATCGAACACCCTGCAGTGAGGGAGGGAGTGGGGCTGGGTCAAGGGCTACCTGGGCAGGGCAAGGCATGGGACAGAGCCGCAGCTTGTCCAGGGGGTGTGAGTAGGAGGGGGCAGCTGCTGTACGCACCCTGGGAGGGCACGGGGGAAAGTGTGCCCTTAGATCTGTGCGGGGTGAGGGCGTGCTGGAGCTGAGGCTGCGCAGGGCTGCACTCAGGGCAGGTGGCGGCAGTGCTGGGAGGAGGGTTGTTGGGGGGGGGGGGGCTGCAGCCACCCCAAAATTTGCTGTAGCCCTCCCAACCCTCCCTCGCAGTGCCGCCATCGTCCTCTCCAAGTGCAGCCCAGCCAAACCAACACTGGGAAGAGCCTGCCCTCACCTTGCACGCAGATCCGGGGACATGTCCCCCATGCCCTCCCAGGATGCACGTAGCAGCGGGAGCGCCCCCCACCCCCCCCCCCGGATGAGCCAATTGCAGCTCCATCCCACACCACGGCTGTACAGTGCCTACCCCTCCCCCAGCCCCACTCCCTTCCTCACCACAGGGGCCTTGATCTACCCCCCTCCACACCCTTCCCATCCCCTTCCACCACAACAGACTTACCTGCTGCACGCAGCTGTATCAGAAATCAAGTTGACACCCACATGCTGTGCTGCAACTGCGCATGCACAGGGCATTTATTGTGGCGTTATCAGCCACATCAGCCAAAAAAAGCTGTTTACCGATACAGTCAATTTTCCTTATATCAGTGCTGATCCGATATGGGACCGATGTATTGGTGCACCTCTAATTATTAGAGATGTAACCCTGCAACATGGTGATGTGTATGCACCACACCCCTAGGCTCCCTTGTCTGGATGGACCACCCTCACTTGGTACCTCGGAGGTCTTTACCCAGACAGAGCCTATGGTCCCAGCCTCCACACAGACAGAACCCTTGTCTCCAGGGATCTGGGGTTCAAGTTCTCCCACTTGTCAGATGTGCTCGCTGGTGGAGACTCTGGAGGGCTGGGCAAGGGAGCTCCAGGAGGTGGTGAGCACACTGCGAACCATTAGGGAACACGAAGCGAAGTGGTGCTGACTCCTACCCTGGGGGTCTTTAAGAGGAGGTTAGCCGAACACCTTGCTGGGGTCGTTTGACCCCAGTACTTTTTCCTGCCATGGCAGGGGGTCAGACTTGATGATCTGCTCAGGTCCCTTCTGGCCCTACCAACTATGAAACTACGAGGTGAATATCAACGTTTACTGCCAGGCCCTATACCTGGAGAAGGATGCCATGGAGACCACGCAGAAAAGCGGGCTTGAGCAAGATGCCCCAACCGATGGCACATGAAAACTGGTCACATCAGGCCCAAAGCCACAACATGCATCAGGTGCTCCACCAATAGCTCTGTGCAACAACTGTGCAGCCCTCGCACCATTGATGGATGGCGTCTGCATTGATGGCGTCTGCTTCCTCCACATTGAAGACAGGACAGGAACAGCCGCCCCCACCAAGGAAGCAACGAAGAGTGATTGTTGTGAGAGACTCCTTGTTGCGGGGATAAGATGGTGCCATTTGTCATCCAGACCCCTTCACTCAAGAGGTCTGCTGCCTTCCAGGAACCAGGATCCAAGATGTAATGGCGAGGATCCCAAAGCTAGTTTGTCCTATGAACCACTACCCCCATGCTCCTTGTCCATGTGAGCACCAACAACACAGTGAGAAACAACCCCAGGAGAATGATGAGTGACTATAAGTCCATAGATTCATAGATGTTAGGGTCGGAACACCCCACACAGTTACGGGGGTGCGCACCCCCCCATGCCCTCCCAGGGTGCACACTGCTGCAGGAGCCACCCCCACCCCTGTAGCCCCCAGATGAGCTGCAGCTCTGTCCCACACCCTGCCCCAGCCCCACTCCCTGCCTCACCATGTGGACCTCTACCTGCCCCCCCAGCCCCTTCCCTTCCCTTCCCCTTCCACCACAACAGACTTACCAGCTGGACACAGCTCTCCAAGCTGCCAGGCTATGCTCCTCATGCCTGCATGCTGTGCTGCATCTGCATGCATGCATGGAATGTTTATTGGCCAAATTATTGGCCTCACCAAGCAAAAAAAGCCATGTTCCAATAGTCACTTTTCTTTGTATCGGTGCAGATCCGATATCGGACCAATGCATCTCTATTGCAAATACTTTTTGTTAAGAAGAGGGTTTTGGGGAAGGCTTCATTTTCTGCTAATGAAGTTGCATTGGTGCTTTTCATGTTTGCTAGCCGGACTTGCCCTGGTTAGTCCTGTTCCCCACACAGTAATGTGCTGGTCCCATTTCCTTTCCGATGAAAATTCAAGTGCTATGACTAAAAAAAAAAAGCAATGAAAGGTATAAAAGCAATGAAAACTAGGGCTGTGCAAAATTTCGCCTGCTGTTTCATGTCGACACTGTTTCGACTTGTTTAGAGCTCAAAACAGGGAAATTGAAACAAAACGAAATGCTTCAAAACAGCCTCGAAAAGAAACAAGGGCAGTTGAAATGTTTCAAAACATTTCAAGTTTCGAAGCTGGGCTTGCTTGCAGCTAAAGAGAATGTAAGGAGAGGGAGGGTGAAGAGCGGGGAAGGACTGCTCTGATATTGACTGTGTAGCTGGCCAGTGACTGTGATCCTTCCCTGGGGTTCCTTCCAATCCCAGTGCTCTGGGGGCGGGATGAAAAAACAGTAAAAAGTATTGTTTCAACTGAGCTTTCTCTGTACCTTCACACTTACAAGTGACGTGAGTTTTGCTCTGAACAGTTTGAGGTGCCGTTTCCCAGAAATCCCTGCACCTATCTCCTTGAAACTTGGCAAGCATCATGGCCTCATAAAGGGCTACCATCCCTGCAAGTATCCGGTGAACCAGGCAAGAAATGACAAAGCTATAGGCGATTCCGTGCTTCCCCATTATAGCCTATGGGCGAAATGTCAAAACAGCTAAACAGTTTTGACGAAACGAAACAGTGCTTTCGAAACTAAATAAAACACTGCCCCGGCAAAACGGAAGTTGGGAAGAAACAGTGCTGTTTCACACAGCCCTAAGATAACCCATTAGAAAGTGACCCTTCCATAAGAAGAATTTCATCAGCCTCTCCAGATGTTCACTCACATTGATTGTAATCCCTCCAGTCTGCTCTCTTTGCTGTTGCGGTTGCTCATTGTCCAGCATTAGCTACCCATAGCCATACCCATCCTGAATAAGCCATTAAAATCACCACTTTCATCTTTTCCATTGTGTTTAATCTCTTCCATGAAAAAGCCCAGGATGCTGCTTGTCTGTGATAAGGGGAAGATAATTTGTGCAGGCAGAAAAAAGGATTAAAACCAGTGGTCCCTTGCTCTAGAAAAGTTCCATCGAGCTCACCATGCCATCAGGACTTCCGTATGTTTCACTTCACTATTGAAGGGATTGTCTGGAAGTTACTGAGGTTGTGTGCTACTCTCTCCTCTCTGGATGAACCAGAGGATAGAAGAAGCTAGGAGAACCTTGTTTTACCTACAGATGTTCAGTAATAACTTGTCACAGCCTTAAAAGGTTGAGACATACCTGGGCAGAGGAGGATACACTTAACAATAGTCATTAGAATAATACTGTAGCATTATGAGTATGCATTGCTGTGTGTCTAAACCCCTGGAACCATCCCTCTTTGGTTTACAGGAGAGAGGTGATTTACTTAAGTACAACCACATGAATTGCCCACATAGTATTTGAGATCTTGGAACTGAATGTCTCACTTACTGGGAGCATCTTCCATACATGGCAGACGTCAGGCCTGTTTTCTCTTCTGTTCTGCTGGATTTTTGTACATCATAGACAAGTTTCTGATTCACTATGTATGTTAGTGGCCCCCTCTAAATATTTTTGCCTTTTTATGGGAGGTAAAAGAGTGGGAGAAATCCTGTTGTGTTGGACACTAAGACTTTTCCTAATTGTGCCAACTGAGAGGGCTCATACTTCCTTATTAAACAAACACAGATTGTCCGTCCCAGTGTCATTACTTAATTCTCTTTGGTCTCTCTCTTTCAGGATCTATGTTATGGTCTGCAGTTCGAAGCCACAGTTCCCAGAGTAGTTCACAACAGCAAGGGTGAGGTCAAAATTTTGCTTTGCTTCACTTTTCCCTCAGAGGTACTAACCCTCCCTTGATTTTTCATCCCTCCTTATTTGTTCCTTTTCCCTTTCTGTGAGCCAGTAAAGAAGTAATTCTGTGAACAGACTGAATGTACCTCCAGTAAATGCCTCTCCTTGTTTTAGCCATAAGGGGTCACTAAAGAAATAGAAAATTAATCTGTTCTGGTTTCTGGATTACAGGACCTAGTAATTCTGTTCCCAGTCAGAATTCTGTATTTGCAAAGAGCAAAGATGAGGCATTCGCTCCTCAGTATCCTGAGAGCTTCAGAATGAGGGTGTGATCCCTGTCCCTGTATCACACCTTATGGTATGGCCATTAAATCATGGAGCCAGCCCCAAAAGGGCAGGGCACTGGAGAACATTTTTGGTAGTATTTGATTTTGAAAGGGCACACTGAGATGTTGCCAAGTTGGTTGATTCAACACAATTGCCACACTATTAATTTTGCCCTGTTTACCCAGTGTGAACCTGTCTCCTAGAATTTAAAATGCTTTTTGTGACTTTCATCTTTTCTGTTAACTCTAGAAAATGCTGATCAGAGCCCTCAGGGAATTCTTGGCTCCCTGTTTGTAGCAGAAACGGTGTTTACTGTAGTCATATAGCAGAAACCACTGCTCTTCTGTCTATCCCATCTATAACATGCTCACTGTTCCAAAGAGAAAACAATGCTGAACCAAAGACAGTCTTTTCTGCAAATGTCTATTCTGTATCATAGCTTAATTCTTTAAAGGAAATTACTGTTTTAAGAACGGAGGAGACTTTTAACACATATCTCCCCAGATGTAGGCATTATGCTACTATTAGAGTAACTTTAAACACTGGGTTGATCAGAATCTCAGGGTTAGGATATTTGTGGGAGGAGGTGAGCTTGCTGCCACATGCTGCAGAAAATTTAGCTGCTCTAAGGAGTAGGAGTTAGGAGATCTCCATTGTTCTGTCTTTGACAATGGCACTGTGATCTTAGGTTTATACTTGATCTTTCTGTGCCCCGTTTCTCTATCTGTGAAAGGAGGCAGAATGTTTAGTGAGGTGCTGTGAAGACCTCTGTGACAAACTTTGCTTATGTGCAAAGTATCACTCCTAAAAAATAATAGGGGTTTTCCACCTTTCATTCCATTGTAGAGCCTTCATAAAAGCTCACCATGCAAAGGTATTAGCTGGTGCTGCCTCATTCTGCCCCACCTGATACTAAAATTCATAAAAGGTTTCTAACACCAGCAAAGTTTGAGAAAATTGTTTCCACTTGGAGTCATACCTAACAGGGCATAGGAGTTTTCTGCCCTACTTTTTATCTTCTAATGAAAATTCATCTTTGAAAATTAGAAGTATTTGAGCAGAACTTGCCCAGCTCTAATGTGTATGGTTAAAAAGGTGTTTTTAATAGTGTGATCCTTGTGTTTTCTTTGCCGTCTATCCATCAGCCAAGCAAACCAACCAATGTGGTTTGCTGACTGTTAGTTGAACATTGCCCTTCTGGTCTTAAGAGAGTCCTCAACATTGGAGCAAAGGCTCCCACACAGTGACAATCTTGAGTGTAGCAGAGAATATCCACTCATGCAGCTGTCAAGAAAACATTGATGGATGCTGGCTGAAATGTGTCCCTGGTAGCTCTGTTCTTCACTTCTATGGCAGCAGTACAAGACCTGCTGCCTTTTGTCTCCTCCCCAGGATCTTCACTTAATTGTAGCTGTCAGTGGATTAGTGTTTTGGGCATTTCCAGTAGGTAAGGTTGCAGCATCAAAGGGCAGAAAATAAAATGGGACCCTGGTAAAGGTCTATTCAACACAGAAATTGGCAACTGAGTGCTAGACAGTTTGAGCTCTGACAGTGGCTCCTGTGAATTGTGTATCACAGTGCTGAATGCCCTTAGTGGAAGCCATTCTATAATACCCACTGTCATCTCTGTAGTACTCTGTTCTTTCCATCAGTCAGATCCTCAAGGAGATTCTTCAGGAAGGAGCATGAAGACTCAGCATATAGAAGCTCTTCTCAAAGGAACAATCAAGGGTATTCAGAAAGAAGCTTCCTTTTGTCAATAGCAAGTCATGCTTAACCAACATGGTTTCCTTCTGTGACAAGGTGACAGGCTTTGTGGATGTGAGAAGAACAGTGGATATGATATATTTCAGCTTTAATAAGGCTTTTGGCACTGTCTCCCATGACAGTCTCATAAGTACACTAAGGAAATAGCCTAGATAAAACTACTGTAAAACTAGTACATAAATTGTTGAATTATTATGCTCAAAAAGTAGTCATCACTCAGTAGCTCATTTTGTACCTGGGATGAGATATCAGTCTGGGTTCTGGAGAGGTCTGTTCTGCTCAGCCTTTTCAGTAACTACTTGGAGGATGGTTTTGAATGAATACTTAGTAAATTTGCCAATGACCCCAAGCTTGAAAGGATAGTAAACACTTTGAAGGATACAAGTTGAATTCAAAATGACCTTATAAATTGGAGAAATGGTCTGAAATGAATTGAATTAAATTTGCTGAGGACAAATGTAAAATCCTACAATTAGAACCGATCAATCGTGCACAAAAACAAATTGAGGAATGACTAGCTAGGCTGTAGTCCTGTAGCAAAGGGCCTGGGAGTCATATTGGATGGCATGCTGAATGATTTAAAAATGTGCAGTGTTGTAAAAAACAAACAAACAAAAAAGCCACTAGCATATTGGGGTATATTACTAGGAGTGCCGCATGCAAGTCATGAGAAGTGACTCTTCCACTCTGTTCAGCAGTCACTAGTGAGGCCTCACTGGGAATATTTTGTTTGGGCACTGCACTTTGGTAAAAACATGGACAAACTGGGAAGAGTCCTGAGGAGAGCAAGGAAAATGATTAGCAATGTAGGAAACGTAACAGACAAGTAAAGCTTGGAAGAACTGGAATTATTTAGTCTGAAGAATGGGGAGTTGATTGAATAAAGAGTTGATAACTATCTTCACGTACAAAATACATTGTTGATCAACTGTTCTCTTTGTCCACAGTGGAGAGGACAAGAAGGAATGGGCTTCATTTGCAACAAGGGATATTTATGTTGGGTGTTAGGAAGAACTTTCTAGCTAGGAGCATAGTTAAACACTGGGACAGGTTGTTTAGAGAGGTTGTGGAATCACTGTCACTGCAGTTTCTTATGTACATCTTAGACAAACTTTTGCCTGGGATGGTTTAGGCATAGATGAAACATTCCTGCCTGAGCAAGGGGTGGGACTATATTTTCTGCAGTCCCATTTCCATGATTCGGTAAATTTTGCACCACAACTACATAAAAGCCCAGGAAACATTGAGGATTTAAGTTGCGGCACTTAACAAAATTTGCTGCTTATCACTTCATAAACTAAGTCTGTCCTAAAGTACAAAACTGCCAAATCTTTGAGCTGGTTCTGTTATGTTCCGTTGTTTAAGAAACACAACCCACCCCACCTTTGGCAAACGCCAAGCTTGTGTGGAAGTAAGAAGCAAACTCACTGAGGCATTTGCATTAAATCGGATCTCTTAGTTCAAGCGCTGAATTAAACTAGCAGTTCCCAAGTGAGATGTTAGCAGCCATTAGTATCTTCATTCAAGGAGTGCAGCTGGAAGCTTGAAAGGAAAAGCAGTTTCATGAGCTCCTATAGAGAAGCCAGCTGTGGTTCTCAAGGTCTTCACTAAACTATCAATTTAGCTGAAAAGAGCTTTAAAAATAGGCTGGAAAGGAAGAAGTAACATGCATGAGTCATTAATATTCAGTCCCTTGAGGCTGATTTGAGGAGGCTAATTAGATCATCTGTCCCTCTACGGCTCTTTGGGTGCTTGTCTCAATTCCTCCCCAACATTGCTAAAACCAGTGCCACAGTGGGCAGAGTGTGAGTCTAAACAAGGGTTGGCTAACCTACAGCAGTGTGCCACAAATAGCACGGGCTGCAGTTTCATATGGCGAGCCAGGTGTCAAAGCCCTGAATTTGGTGTCTGCCACAGGTCCAAGGAAGGGTTAATCTTGGCTTTTGGCAGCAACACCTCTGCTTTCAGCGGTGTCCTTCCCTGGCTCCTGTGGCTGAAGGCTGGAGCCCTCTGCCTCTGTTCTGGTGCCCTAGATCACAAACTCTATCAGGTATGAATCTGGGGGAAGGGCATGACTTGTGACATACCTGCAAAAAAGGGGTAGCTACCACTGGTGTAGACCAAACTTGAAGTAGCCACTAGCCTTTCAAGCAGCAGAGGCCTGTTTCCTCTCCCATTGAAATCAATGGCAAATTCCAGTTGACTGAAATGGGGCAGGCCTCACATAATCTGCACACCACACTGATGCAAACTACTGGTGGCCACTGGCACTTTATGCTGCTGCTCCCTGCTGTATCTGGTGCCAGTGAAGCTGCAGTGGTGTCCGCAACAGTGGCAAGTTAAAGCTTAGTTCAACAAAGGCTCCATGATTTTAAGTTTTTGAGTGAATCTCCAGCTTGTCCTCAAACTGCTTATTCTGCACTGGCATTTTTGCTCATTTAGGCTTGTTGCACTGTAACGTTAGCAGCCCAAGCTATTTTATGTGTTGGGATGGGGGGAGACTGGGCAGACACAAACAAACCATTCATCCCCTTTCTGTCAAAGTTGTCTGGGATTCTCTACACTTGACCATGTACCTCAATAGCCTGGAGCAGCGGAACAGCAGCTGTTTCTATTTTGGTGAAATGCCTTTCCCTTATTTGCAAGCCTAGCTGTGGAGCAAGACAAAGCGGTTTCAGCATGTGGTTAAGCAGTCTCTTGAGGCGGGCTGCAGCTTCAGCACTTTTGAAAGCACCAGCAGCTTTGCCAGTCACTGCAGCGCTACTCTGTATTTCATTGCTCAGTCTCTTACTAGTGTCATTGTGGGGGAGCTGCACAGTCACCAGGCTGGGATTGAGCAAAAGGCACAGGGAGGAAGAATTTTGCCACATCAGGAGTCCTCTTACTTGTAGTTAGTTTTATTCTGCCTGTTATGGGAAGAGGCCATTATTCTTGCCTCATTGAAACGGACATGCCCCAATGGTCATTCAGAACATTGGAATGGTGAGAAGTACAGGTCAGTTGCATCATACACACATTTAACTTGCACAAATTCAGCTATATGCGGGGTGGGAGTGGGGGCAGGGCTTGAGTTTGTGTGTGTGCCCGGAGCTGTGTGGCCGGGTGGCAGTGACAGCGTGGTGGTGGCCAGGCACCACACAGCCATCCCCACCACCACCCCACGCTGCACCGCTGCCGCCAGCCGCACAGCTCTAAGCACAGCTCCGTGGCGGTGGGGGGGGGTTTTGGAGGGAGAGGCAGTCACCGCTGGCACGGTAATACGCGATTTCACTATACACGATTTTCGCCTTACACGCTGACTTTAGAACGTAACCCCCGCAATAAGATGCGACTGACCTGTAGTCACAGCCTCTTCCTCTCACTCAGCACCTAACCCAAAATCCTTTGAAATCTGTGGCCTGAGCAGGATGGCTGAGGTGTGAAGGCATTGGACTTCAGATCCTATGGACATGGTTCCACATGTGTTTGAACCCCACTGCTGGTAGACCTCTGCTTTTCCTCCTCACAGCCTCACTCAGCCACACAGAGAGAAGGCAGGACTGATCAGACCAGAGGTCCCTGAGCATGAGGGGTCCTCGGTCAGGTCAGAAGGTTTCTAAACTCTGGAAAATACTGTAAAGGAGATAAAAGTTGGAAACATTTGAGGTCCATCTGTGGGGAAGGGAGTCCAGAAGAGCTGGCTGTATCTTAAAGAAACCTTACTGAGGGCACAGGAACAAACCATCCTGATGTGGAGGAAGACAAGAAAGGATTGCAGAAGACCAGCTTGGCTTAGCAGAGAACTTTTTAGTAAACTAAATCACAAAAAAGATGCTTATAAGAAGTGGAAATTTGGACAAACAACTAGGGAGAAGTATAAGCATATTGCTTGAGCATGCAGGGATGAAGTCAGGAAGGCCAGAGTGCACTTGGGGTTGCAGCTAGCAAGGGACAAGAAGGGTTTCTATAAGTATGTCAGTAACAAGAGGAAGATCAAGGAAAGTGTGGATCCCTTACTGAATGGTGGAAGCAACCTAGTGACAGAGAAGGTTGAAGTGCTCAATGCCTTTTTCACCTCTGTCTTCACAGGCAAGGTCAGGTCCCAGACTACTGCACTGAGCAGCACAGTTTGGGGAGGAGGTGAGCAGCCAACAGTGGTGAAAAAACAGGTTAGGGACTATTTAGAAAAGCTGGACAAGTTTAAGTCCATGGGGCCAGACATGATGCATCCGAGGGTGCCTAGGGATTTGGCTGATGTGATTGCAGAGCCACTGGCCATTATCTTTGAAAACTCATGGCAATTGGAAGAGGTCCCAGATCATTGAAAAAAGCAAATATAGTTCACATCTTTAAGAAAGGAAAGAAGGAGGATCCAGGGAACTACAGACCAGTCAGCCTTGTGTCCGTCCTGGAAAAATCATGGAGCAGGTCCTCAAAGAATCCATTTCTGAACACTTGGAGGACAAGAAGGTGATTAAGAATGGTCAGCATGGATTCACTGAAGGCAAGTCATGCGTGACCAACCTGATTACTTTCTATGATGAGATGACTGGCTCTGTGGATACAGGGAGAGCAATGGACAATGATATACCTTGACTTTAGCAATGCTTTTGATACGGGCTCCCATAACATTTTCACAGGCAAGCTAAGGAAGTACAGGTTGGATGAATGGGCTGTAACATGGATAGAAAACTGGTTGGATCATCAGCCTCAGAGGCTCTATGAGCGCGTCTACACATCACCCTACAGTGACATAGCAACGCACTATGTCACCGTATGACACGCTATGGCGAGGTAGCATCCATATGTGTCCACATGTAATCACCAGCTACATCACCATAATGGCACACTCCTCAGGTATAGCGCTTTGCTATGGCAATATAGCGTGTGGTGGCAAAATCTACCTGTGCACTGCACTCATGGCGCAGTAACCACCCATACTGCGCCGTGCTTTAATACTTCCAAAAAGAAGTACTAAAGCATGGTGCCATAGCAACGTCACCAGACAGTGCCATGTAGACACCCTATGTCTAGTTGGCAGCTGGTATCAAGTAAAGTGCCCCAAGGGTTGTCCTGGGGCTGGTTATGTTCAATATCTTCATCAGTAACCTGGAAGATGGGATGGAGTGCACGCTTAGCAAGTTTGTGGATGACACCAAGCTGTGGGGAGTAGTAGATACATTGGAGGGTAGGGCTGGGATTCAGAGAGACCTAGACAAATTGGAGGATTGGACCAAAAGAAATCTCATGAGGTTCAACAAGGACAAATGCAAAGTCCTCCACTTAAGACGGAACAATCCCATGCACCAGTACAGGCTGGGGACCAACTGGCTAGGCAGCAGCTCTGCAGAAAAGGAACTGTGGAATACTCCTTAGAACAGGAACTGGATAATAAGCTGAATATGAGCCAACAGCGTGCCTTTGTTGGAAAGAAGGCTAATGGCATACTGTGCTGCATTGGAAGGAGCATTGCCAGTAGATTGAAGGAAATGATTCTTCGCCTCTCTTCAGCACTGGTGAGACCACATCTGGAGTACTGTGTCCAGTTTTGGGCCCCCCACTACAGAAAGGATGTGGACAAATTGGAGAGATTCCAGTGGAGGGCAGTGAAAATGATTTGGGGGTCTGGGGGGCATGACTTTTGAGGAGAGGCTGAGGGAACTCGGCTTATTTAGTCTGGAGAAGAGAAGACTGAGGTGCAGATTTAATAGCAGGATTGAAAAGAGGATGGAGCTAAACTGTTCTCAGTGGTGACAGATGACAGGACAAGGAGTAAGGGTCTCAAGTTGCAGCAAGGGAAGTTTAGGTTAGATATTAGGAAACTTTTCTCATGAGGAGTAGTAAAAGAACTGGAACAGGTTACCCAGAGGAGTTTTGGAGCCTCCATCCTTGGAAATAGGGGTGCACCGATAAAGATGTTTTTGGCTGATACTGATGGCCAGTTATACCACTGTGATAGCCAATATGCAGCCCAACAGTTTGGAGAGCAGCGTCCAGCCAGTAAGTCTGTAGAGAGGAGGGGATGGGGGAAGGGAGGGGCGTGGCATGGGCAGATCAAGGCCCCCACGGTGACATTTATCAGTGACGTTATCGGGTACACCAGCCAAAAAAAGCCGATTGCCCATAATGTCAATTTCCCTTTTATTGATGCCAATCTGATATGGACCAATATATTGGTGCATCTCTACTTGGAAGTTTTTAGGATCTGTTAAGAGAAGGCCCTGGCTGGGATGCTATAGTTGAGGCTGGTCCTACTTTGAGCAGGAGGTTTGAGTAGATGACCTCCTGAGGTCCCTTCCAACCCTAATTTTCTATGATTTTACACTACCGTGTGTGTCCAGACTCTTAGCTCCTTTGCAGCAGCAAGTCCCCTTTCTGCTTGCAGAGAAGCACCACCTCTGACTGAAATAAGGCTGCCAGTTACTGCAGCCCCTTGCAGGTTGGCAGTCTTCCAGCCTGCAAGGAGCTGCTTGGCACTAAGGGGAGCAGGTGGAGGACAATTGGAATCAGGGGATGCGATGTGTGTGCACACGCAGCCAGGAAGGGTGGTGGGAGCAGCCTCAGCAACTGAATATAGATAAGTCTATGGGACAGGGGGATTGAAGGTCCAGGGCTTGGACTGTGAGGGGGCTGTGAGTGGAGGAGGGGTGTGTGTGGGAGTCTGTGCCTGCGGGTGCCTGCAGGCACTGGGGGAAGCAGTCTAGGTGCCAGGGCTGCAGCAGGGCAGGGGGTTTGAAGCATTGCTCAATTCTGCTGGCAAGCCCAGCTCAGCATTGTTGCCAGCGGGGCCCGCCTGGAGGCACCTGCCCCTCCAGTGGGGGAAGGAAGTGGGGGAGAGCGTCCTTTGGGGGAAGTGGGGAGCTGCGTGACTCGAAGCACATGCAGCGGTTGGGGCACCACATGCTGCCCTATGGCACCGGCTGAGGCACAGTGGAGAGGACCAGAAACATGGCTCTGGCTTGGGTGATGCTGTGGGCAGCTGAAGGACGGCAAGGGGCTCCAGGCAGTCTTAGTCCTGGCTGTGGTGGCTCCCGCTCTTGCAGGCAGTGGCAAAGCAAGTCTGGCCTCAGCGCAGGCTGGAGGGAGAAGGAGGCTGGGGATCTCACACTATGCCAGGCAGCCTGGCCATGGTCATTGTCTCCACTTGGCAGCATCTCCAGACTGCATGCAGCCACCCCTGCCCCTGAGAGCACACCCATGCAGCTTCCCCCTGCCCCTGAAGGACCCCCTGCCCCCTTCCCCTGCTGGAGTCCTATGAGTCCATGTTGGAGTGGGGGGTGGGGGCAGGGGCCTGTGTGTTGGGAGTGAGGGGCATCAGCAGGGCTTGGGGGCTGTGGGTTGGAAATGCAGGGCACTGGCAGGGCAAGGGGGCTGTGGGTTGGGAGTGAGGGGCACCAGCAGGGCCGAGGGGCTATGAGTCGGGAGTAAGGGGCAATGGGATGGGCAGGTGCAGGGCACTAGCATATCAGGGCTGCTCAGCTCCACAAAGTAGTGGGGGTAGACAGCTGTAGCTGGACCTGTGTCCTGGTAAGTAAAGGGAGCAGGGGGAGCATTGATTTTTCCATGAAAAAAACCCAACCAAAATCAAATGCCAAAATATATAGGTATTTAGAATTGATTTTGTTATAATGATTGAGGGCACCGATATGCTTCCAGATTGTATTAAAATCATAAATATATCAAAACATTGTGTTCAACTGATACATTGATATATAGATATTGTGACATTTCATTTTAGTCACGGAAAAAGTGCGGATTTTGGGAGGTTTTATCAGAGAAATTTGGATTTTTTTTTCTATCAGAGATTTGGGATTTTTAAACAGAAAAATCAGGATTCCTGGTGACGATATATCCTTTTGTTTGCTGATTCTTACGCTCTTGTTGACAGACTTGTTGCCAAAACGTCATTGTCTTCGTCTCCATGGCCTGTGTTCAGACTGCCAGATCCAGTAGAAGAGACAAAGTACCATACAGGTAAAGATCTCCAGTTACAGAGCCAAAAAGGATCAAATAGGATCATAGAAAAGTAGGACTGGATGGGACCTTGCAAGGTCATCTAGTCCAGCTCCCTGCTCAAGACAGAATTGTCCCTGACTAAATGCTGCATGTGCAAATGCTGATACTGCTGTGGGGCCCAATTATAAGCCAATACAGTATATAAATAGAATGTGATTTTTCTGCTCTTTTTAGAGGGGAAAAGGGTAGACTTCACATCAGAACAGTGCAGTGTATAAGACAGATACTCCTTAGAACAGGAATGTAACTAGCCACAGTGGCTGGATATCCGTTACCGTTCCATATTTGTACCATGGTAGCACATAGCAGTCCTACAGCTATCCCTTGAAGGGAAACAGCATTATATTGCATGTTACAGAAAATGCAGTGACAGAAGAGGAAACATCATTTTTTCTCTTTGCAATGACCTTTTAGATAATGGGTGTTTTGCCTCTTTCTGAGACTGGGACCTGATTTAGACCCGCATCCACCCAGCTTTCAAATTGGAGAGAGCAAAAAAAGTGACTTTACAGAAGAGACTGAGGAAAGGGAGACATCTGATGGGGGAATGGCAGAGGGAGGAGCCACATGCCTTTGAGTGGCATGAACTGCCATTTATGGCTGTCTGGAGCAATGGAGGAAAAGGAGATGCTGTGCTGTCCATTGGAGACGGTTAACAGGCTGATTCACTCCCAAATGGATGTACAATATAATAATAAATAACCATGCAAGTAAACTCCTCATTTAAACAGAGGCATTGGCTCCAGCCCTCCTTTCCTGGCTTACTTTTTTGTAGCTCTGTGCCCACAACATTTTGCACATCTGGTTATTGCTCATTAATGTGGTTTGTCCCTGAAATATTTTTTACACTCTAGGCCAGAGGTGCTCCACCCTGGGCTTGTAGGCTAACTCCAGCTTGCGGCACCATATCATCCGGCCTGCAAGGCTCCCAACAGATCCAGAAATTTGGTGGCAGGCGAGCGCTGGCACCACTCCCTTGCTGATAAATTTCCAGACTCATGGGGAGCCCCAGAGCCCGCACCCTGGGATCCAGTGCCAGATCCCAGCTTTCAGGACCAGGTGGGGGCAACCCCAGGCCCCAATCCCAATGTGGGGGACTGGGGGAAAGGGGTCAGTGCCAGGTCTCTGGGACCTGATCCTGGCATAGAGGTGTAATGTTGTGCCCCTGGGGCTTAGTCCCAATGAGAGGGGGCAGTGCCAGGGCCCAGTCCCAGAATGTGAGGGTAGCAGGGGGTGGTGCCAGCCCCTGGGGCCCAATCCCAGCACATGTGACAGGGAAAGGGTATTGCCAGGCTCCAGGGCCCAATTCTGGCATGTGGGGCTCCGATCAGCCCGTGGACTGGCCCCTGGCCACCCATCTGGTCCATGGGACCAAAAGATTGAGCACCACTGCTATAAGTCTTAATTTTTTACTGTCCAAACAATGGAAGTAAACTTTGAACCTGCTTGCTAAAACAGATCTGATCTTCCCTTGGCTCTGATTCAGCCAAGACCTTTGGCCCATAATGATTGCCATGTTTCATGGCCTTCCAGGTACTTTGTGTCACTGTACACAACAGTTCTCAAGACTGCTTGACAAACGGCTGGCTTGGCCTCTCCAGCATCTTCTCAGAATAGCCTCACATTATGACTGCATTCATAACTGCAAGAGCATTTGATTTCTGCGCTCTACTCATTACCTGCCTGACCTTACTGTGCCCAGAAGTGACCATAGGTGCTCTATGTAAGATCAGTCTTTGTAGCACTATAGAGCAAGTAGCTGTGCTTACAAGGAAATGCCAGCATGGCTTGATGTCACTTTCCTTTTTTTAAAAAACCTGAAGCATAAAAATGCAGGTCAAAATGTTAGGACTTGGGTGTCAGAAGTTGAACTTCTAAATTTAAGTATCTTGAATTTCAGACTTTGTTAGTGACCTTAAATCCCTGTAGGTTCAGTGGGAGCTACAAGACCTTGGCATTATTGGAAGTCAGCCTGCTTTTATTTAGACACCCAAGTGTGAATTTAGGAGTTTAACTTTCAAGCATTGAGATTTAAAAATGTTGGCAAAAAGGTTATTGATACTAGTTGAATAAATAGATTAGTAGCTTCAGGCAGGTGATCTCCACTGTATCATGCTGCACATAATGAAGAGGAGAAGGGGATCACGTTGTTCTCTAAAGTAGGGGCGGGCAAAATGTGGCCTGCAGGCTAGATGCGTCCCACCAGGTCATTCTATGTGGCCCGTGGGGTCCCTTAAAAATTTATAAAATTAATATTTATCTGCCCCTGGCTGCCTGTCACGCAGCCCTCGATGGCTTGCCAAAACTTAGTAAGCGGCCTTCCACCCAAAATAATTGCACGCCCCTGCTTTAAAGGCTCCAGCATTATCCTCTGCATCAGGATACAAGATCCATGTGGGCAGGTCCTAAGCCACAGGTCTCGCATTCTACCAGTAAAGTTACTCTAGCTCTAGTGTTAATCACAGTGGAAGTGGCATCAACAATTGTGGTTGAGGTTGCAAAATGGTTTCCATTCTAAACCCCTGTTTTCAGTTGCTCCTGATCGCATAACTTCCACTTTGGGGATGAAGTGTTCCATACTCTTATCTCTTCAAAATAGATATTTTTGGCTTAAATTCTAAGCAAAGCTGGTTTCAGCTATTTTTGAGCACAATGGGAGTAGAGGGAATATTATAGCAAGAAAAGTATTTTTGATGAGTGGCTTGAGAGCAAAATGGCATGAGGGTAGAATGCTGGAATTTGACAAGGAAATATGCCTCATTAAGCAGTGCTTTGTCAGTGTTTGTGTAATGGTGGTGTTTGATTGGACTGAGTTATGACCTTAGAAAAGTTGCTCACTGTGTGTGCCATAATTTGTGCCCAGTACTGTGCTAAACTTATAGCATGCATAACAAAAGCACAAAGAATATAATATTTCCAGCAAGGAGCTGAAGCAGGGTCCTTCTGGCATGTAAAAAAATCTCAAGCTTGAGCTGGCCAAGGACCCTGGCACCCCAGTTCCTGTACACTGTGCTGCCCTTGCTCTACCTCTTCTGTGCCCTTTGTCTGGTTCTTAGGGCTCTTCTTCACCCCTTGGGATAGAAAAAAAGCAGAGCAGGACACTCTCTTATGGAATATCTTGGTCTCCAGGATAGGACATTCCACTGACATCCAGCCAGTTGTTCCAGCAGAAGTCAAGCTGCACATGTGTCAGTCGCACTGTGTCGGTATAAGCCTAGTTCACATTTAATGCTTGTATGGGTACAGTCATGCTAACAGTTCGGATTCAAGCATAGAGAAAGTCTCAGTCTTTCAAGGAGGGAGGCATGTCCCTTCTTTGATCATCATCTTCCAGGCCATGTCTGAAGCCCTCAGTAGGGATCCTAATAAGATGGGGAGGGATGAGTAGAACATGTGGGCAGGTTTTCATGCTGCCTTGCCTGCTGATATTCCCTACTACAGTTTATCCCCAGTGCACTCACTGCCTCACCATTTGTTAACAGAGGTCGTACAAAGGGTGAACGAAATGATTGCCACTGGGCAGTATGGAAGGCTCTTTGCTGTGGTTCATTTGGCCAGCAAGCAGTGGAAGGTCACCAGCGAAGACTTGATTCTAATGGAAAACGTTCTCCCGGCTGAATGTGGAGACAGAATCCGACTTGAAAAGGTAAAGTCCCTTCCTGCATCCAGGATTACATGCAGTAACTTGGAGATGTCTCTTCCCCAGTGTCAGTGATGCCGCAGTGTAAAAGAAGAAACACTCTCCAGGGGCAGCTGTTGATGCTTGGAATACTGGGGCTAGCTAAGGCTTCAGACTCTTGACTAAGCAGTGTAAGTCTGGTATCAGGCAGGCCCATGGTTCACATATGTGTTAGTTGCTACTTAGGATTGGGAGGAACCTTGTGAATCACTGAATCCAGTTCCCTACAATTCCAGCCACCCTGTATTTAATATCTTCATCAGCAATTTGGACAAGGGTGTGGAGAGCACACTGTCCAAGTTCGCAGATGATACCAAGTTATGGGGCAAAGTTAACACACTGGAGGGCAGGGAGCAGATACGGGCCAACCTGGACAGGTTGGATCAATGGGCAGAACGAAATAGGTTGCAATTCAACAAAGATAAATGTAAGGTACTCCACCTAGGAAGGAGGAATCCCCAGCACACCTGTAGGTTGGGGGATGACCTCCTCAGCAGCTCAGAGCCTGAGAGAGATCTTGGAGTCATAGTTGACTCCAAGGTGAACATGAGCCGGCAGTGTAACGAGGCCATCAACAAAGCCAATTGCACCTTGTCATGTATTAGCAGATGCATGACCAACAGATCGAGGGAGGTAATGCTCCCCCTCTGTACAGCATTGGTCAGGCCACAGTAGGAGTACCGTGTCCAGTTTTGGGCACCGTACTTCAAGACAGACGCAGAGAATCTGGAAAGGGTTCAGAGGAGGGCCACTTGCATGATTAGTGGCCTCCGTGAAAGACCCTACGAGGGGAGATTGAGAGATCTAGATCTCTTCAGCCTTCACAAGAGATAGCTGAGGGGAGACCTTGTAGCCACCTATAAGTTTGTCAAGGGAGGACAACAGGGAATCGGTGATGCACGATTTACCAGAGTGCCCTGGGGAGTAACTAGGAATAATGAGTGCAAACTAGTGGAGAGTAGATTTAGGTTAGACATTAGGAAGAAATTTTTGCAGTAAGGGTGGCCAGAATCTGGAATGGGTTTTCAAGAGAGGTAGTGGAGGTCTTGGAGGTCTTCAAGAGGAGGCTTGATAGTCACCTGGCTGGGGTCATCTGATCTCAGTCCTCTTGCCTTCCAGGGGCAGGGGTTTGGACACGATGATCCATTGTGATCCCTTCCAACTCTACAATCTATGAATCCGTGCCTCACAATCTTTTTCATAAACTAATGTAGCTCCATCATAATACTAGGCAACTTTTTTGCTTCTGCTCCTGTTGGGGGGCTGTTCCAACACATTATTACTCTGATAGCTAGAAGCTATCTTCTAATTTCTAACCCAAATTTCTTTATTTGCCCCCAATGTGTTCTTATGCCTCTTAACTAAAATAGCTCTTCTCCCTCCTTGATGTATTCAGAGTGCAGTCATAGCCCCTCTGTCTTTTTTTTCTGATCAAATAAAGAAGAGACTCTTCTAGTATCTTCTCATATGCCCCTTTCTTGCAAATAGCACATTTTTCCCCAAAAAATCAACTCCTGGAAATTGGTGTGTACATTACAAGTAAGAAAATACAGTAATGACAATTTATGTTTCTGCTGGGGAAAATAAAAATAATGCTACAGTGCTACACTTCTGAAGTTTATACCAGCTCTTGGCCCATGCACCAGAAGCAGTGCCAGACAGCATCAGCTATGGTGTGGCCAGCAGGTTCCAGGTGAGGACTGGGGCATCTGCATCAGCACATCAGCTTCAGTCCTGGGCAGTTGCCCCAATCCTCACTGAGAACTTGCCGACAGCATCTGCAGCTGATGTGGTGAGCACTTCCCCCTCCCCGGCACTGCTTCCAACACATGAGCTAGTGTAAGCTGTGGACAGGTCCAGGACATGCTGTAGCTGCGAGGGCAGGGAGGAGAGAGAGATGGGGCATGCTATCGCTGTGGGGATGGTTCAAGCAGGTAGAAGAAACAGATGAGGCCCATGAGAGAACGCCAAACTCAGTAAGTGGCCCTCCAGCCAAAATAATTGCCCACCCCTGCTTTAGACGCTCATGATTAGGGCCCAGGTGCAAGCAGCAGGGTCCGTGGGGCCCCCCTCTACTAATCAGTGGCGAGGGGAACTCCCAAGATTAAAGGAGCTGCTGCGGCACAAGCTGGGCCTGGGATTTAAACCAGGCCCTACTCATAATCATCCTGTGATCAGCTTGTGATTGCCAGTTCTGCTTTTCCTCCTCATCCTCCTCCTCAATTTCAAATGAGGAGCTCCCAGCTTGTAATAAAGTTCTTGGTGTTGGTTCCTAAACGTGTGACCTTGCACTTTGTACTGTTCCATTTTATCCCATTTCTGTTACTCAAGTCCCCAAAGTCAAGTCTGCCTACAATTAATAGACTTAGGGTGCAGACATCCAGCACTCTGGGATACTACATCAAAGACAGAAATACCCAATTACCGGTGACGGCACATTTCTCACAGGAGGGCCACTCTCTCTCCAATCTCTCAGTCCTGATCCTCAAGGGAAATTTACACAACACTTCCCAGAGACGAGCCTATGAGCTCCATTTCATCAACCTCCTGGATACTAGAGATCTAGTCTAGTATCTGGACTAAACATAGACATTGGATTTTTGATGCATTATAATCTGCGTGGCAGCTGACTCCCCAGCCCAGCCGCTGGCTTCTTTACTTTTCATTCCATCCGGGAAGAGCACACACCAACTGCTGAAACTTCCTTAGCCTGACAAAGGGCTTTTGAACTCGAAAGCTTGCTTAATAACTATTCTCCAACTATTTGGGTTGGTCTAATAAAAGATATCAAATTCACCCAAAGAACCTTGTCTGCCTATGGGATACTACATGGCTTTTGTACATCAATGAAAATCCCGTTGGTGTCTGGAGGATGCCCAGCTGCCCACAATGGATGCTTATTGCACAGTCTCACCACTGGATGGCAGGCTAGCCAGTAATAGGCTGTGTTGAGCAAAGGGCTACGGTGGGTGAAATTCACTGCAGACATATCTGTACACTGGTATTACTTGCACTAGCCTATTGTTACTCTTGACTTCCCAAGAAGTGCTTTATCCCAGAGTGAAGTGACTGATGCTAGCATAGGTTTCTATGTCCATTCCACGTTTACATTAGTATAAATGGGATTACACGATTGTAAGTGTGTCATGTTCCCATTGTTACAGTGATGTTACAGGCCTTGTAGTTCCCAACCCCTTTGTCCCCTGCTATACCAGATGCTTTGTTTGGGGGGGAAACACAACTTCATTTCCCACCCACCCACCCACACAGTCCTTGCAGTTGGCAGAAGTCAGGAATTCACGTTTAATCTCCCAGTCTGCTGCTGTTTTAGTTCCTGCTATAGACAGGTATCCTCTTTGGGAAAAAGTCTCTCTTTTATCCTTAGGGAAAAGCTGTTGACCATCTGGTCATTGGACAAACAATCCATCTACTCATCTGAGCCAGTGTAACAGAGAGCCAGGGGCTCCTGTTACTTTACCGGTGAAGGGGCAGCAGGGAGAGCCCCAGGAGGGGGAAAGCTGCCTACTGTGAATGTCTAGGGAACAGATACCTGGGGATTTACCTGCTACAAGTACTTACTGCCGAACCAGCTGCATGGCAGTAGAGCACTGGGCTAGTCCCCTGCATGGGAGGCAAGTTGTTGTTACAGCAGGATCCAGCAGCAGTCCATTTCCCTGGGGTTGATCTGGCAGACTAAGGCAGCATCTGTGGTAACTCGGGGAGTCCTATGATCAGAGTGGAGCATGACTTCCAGCTAGAGCGTTCAGTCGGCCTCTGGGAGCTCCTGAGGGAAGAGCTCCAGGGCAGGAGAGCTACAGAGAAGCTCCTGGCTGATGCCTGGACTACCCTGGGTGAAGTGCGAGTAGAAATGCTGCTGTCTTGCAGGGGAACAGGACTCAAGGTAAGGAGAGCTGACAGATACAGCAAGGAGCTGGGGCTTGCGACTTAGACTCAGTTGTGGGGATTTATGTTCTAGCCAGAGGGCTTATTTTGGACTAGATTCTGAACTGGTGGTTTGTGGAAGGGACATTAGTGCCCTAGGGGCATGTGATTGCCTTGAGCCATGCTGGGGGCAAGCTCATGGTGTAGCCAGAGCCTGGGGAAGGGCAGAGCCTGGGGCCAGAGGACCCAGAGCCCAGGGAGAGAGCAGAGTGGGAAGAGCAGGGTTTGGGGGCCAGAGGACCCAAGAGGGAAGATAAGGGGCTGGAGTCCAAGGAGCCAGACTTAGGGTGGTAGGTCTGAGCCAGAGGGGTGCAACCAGAGTAGCGGGGCAGAAGCTGGGAAGGCCAAAGCCCAGAAAAGGAATAAAGGTCTGTGACAGCCTGCTGGATTTGGGACAAGTGCCCCACCTGATTGGTGACCCAAAAGTTTCTGTGAGGCATGGGTACGATATAAGGGGCGAGTGGAGTTGCACAATGACCCCTTAAGGCCACAGGTGCCCTGGGTGCACAGAGGGGCCGAGAGGGCCCACTCATCTCAGGGCAAAAACTGAATCCAGCAGGGTCAGGGAAGGACCTGCTGGTGGCTGGAAGTGACAAAGGCTCACTCTAGGACTGGTGGGCAGCCTCCCTTCCTTGATATCTTAATAAGATCAAGGTGTGGCAGGTGAGGAACCAAAGGAGTGCATCTTAGAGAGTTAGGCAGGAGCCATATAGGCACCAGGGGGGAGCCATGGCCACCCTGGGAGCCTACTCCTCTTATAGCCACCTACGTCCTGTCTGCTGCAATCACTTCATAGTTTCATAAATCCTGACTTGTTGACAATTAGCCAAGGAAACTCCATTCACCCATGTGAGTGAGTGAGATTGGGGGTGGATGTCCCTTGAGGTCCTTCCAACCCTGTGGCTCCATGGGAGGCAGCAGAACTGACCGGGCAAGGCCTGTGGCTTGGGCAGTATTTAAGATCGTGGGAAGGGCTAGCAGCAGCCAAGGGCTTCTTGTAAAAAAATAAATAAATAAATAAAATCCTGGATTATAGGAATTGACAGTTCATTGCCCTCTCCTGCCAACAGTAGTCCATTATGAGCTTTCACACCACAAATCTGTTTCCATGGGAATGTTTATGCTGCTCATCCTTATCAGTTCCATCCTAACCACAAGCCAGTGCTACAGTTCTTTGTCCCAGCCTTGCATTAGCAGAAATGCAACGAATAGAGGCCAACTTTTCCAAGCTGGCTTTGTAAATATGAGGAAAGATCTCCTGAGACGTCGATTTCAGCCAGGTCTTGAATATTACCTCCCTTGTCCCCTTTAGCTCTGAAAAAACCTTTTCTCTAATTCCCGATACTTGCAAGGTCTGCCTTTTCTTTGATTTTATTTGCTGTCATGTTGATGATGGTAGTTCAGTTTATACCAAGGGGAAATGGGCTAAATTGCTCTGCGTATTCCAGACATCCTGCCTATGTTGGAAAGCGGTGTGCTTTACTCAAAATGTTCCTAAGGACTAAATACTGTGCTTATTGGTATTCCTATAGTGCCCCCAAAAATGTTTGTCCTGGAACCGGTCAGTTAACATTGGTTGACAGTACTGTAAGTCCACAGGTAACATCAGGGTTGGCCCCTAGAACATTCAATCCCTCTAGGTGAAGAAAGTGTTTAGGGGATAAGCGTAAGCCCATGGGTGGGTATTTCCCTCCTCATCCACATCTAATGCTAAAAAGAATTTATAGAGACTGTTTAACCCAAGGCTTATGTGAAATTTTAGGAAAGATGGCTGCGTTAGATTCATCTTCAGTCACTGTAACCAACCATTTACCGGTAGAATAAATACATCTGGGGAGCCAGTTTTTCTGCAGATCTGTTGCTTTAAAGTCCAGTTTCAAGGCACCCTTTCTAGTGACTGGTATATCTTTGTGCAAAAAAATGAAGCTTTGGCATGAGAGTACAGACAGTCTTAATCAGGGTGAAGAAAGTGAGGAATTTACATTTAATCTCCCAGTAAATCTCCCTATAATCCAGTCAGGTTTTTACTGCCAAAAGGTTGTCAAAGGCAAAACTCAAAAACTGTAATAATCATTGGTGTATAGCTTTTAACTGCTGCTGTACACTTAATGGGGCAGGGAAATCAGCTGTAAAAAGCCTTTGAATTTCATTTACTTCCTAGTCAGTTGAAGTCCTGTCTGACATGCACCTCTTTTCTGATTTAGGCAGATCATTTGAATTGCTATAAACCAAAGGGTTATTATGTGACATGACTCTGCCCCAGACATTCATTATTCTTCTGAGGGCTCAGGAAGGATAAGGAAGATATTTCTGATTCTCCTGATATCTAGTGTTCACAGACCTTGGTGTTAAGGTCCTAGTGTCTTCCTTTCTCTTTCTTTTCCACAATTGCACATACGCAGACAGGATCCTAAGTGTTGTGAAAAGTGTTCTTAAAATAAGCATTGATAAAATACAGACAACCATCCTCTGGGAGGCTGTTTATTGAATGGGCCTGTTTTTTGGCTGTTAGATCTTTTTCCATGGTATCCTGAGATTTGAGACTTAAAAAAGAAATGGAAATTTTAACACACCCAAGCACTTCTGGGATAAATGTAAAGTTTTGCTGATGTTATTTCTAATTACATTGTGGCTAGCAAGCAGCTCAAGTGCATAATTTAATTTCTCTAGGTCTTGCTGGTTGGTGCTGATGACTTCACGCTAATTGGAAGGCCACTTCTGGGGTAAGGCATGTGGTTTAAAGATCATACATCTAAGTCAGTTGACAGTCTCCAATGAAATGTTTGCAAGCCTCAGCCCTACCAAGTCTATCTGTTTATACTGCAAACAATGCTGAGGGAGTTGTGTGTTTCTAATTTCCTTTAGCAGTACTGTGAGGTAGGGGCCTTTGGAGGTATGCGCCTACATACGTGTCACAGAGTTGATCCACTAACACACCAGAATACCTAAGTGTTGCCCAAACTGTCCAGTACTAATGAGGTGAGAAGATGAATCCCATTCTCTCTCTGGCCTGCTGGGTGGAGGAGTTGGCGAGGTCTCTTTTACTCTGACAGACGCTTAGCCGGGAGAATCTTCCCAGTGGAGAGAAAGGATTGTCCAGTGGTCAGTGTGTGGTATCCCTGCCACTGTCATAGCCTTCCTGCCTGGCCTTTGCTCGGCTCTCTGCCTCACTTTCTTCCTGGGGGTTGTAATGCTTTCCTACCTGCCAGGGCATTCATTGGTGTCTCTGAAATACTTTGTGATCTCCAGAGAAGTTAGAAGAGAGGTGGACTCTCATCATCATTTATTGTGCTAAAGATGAGAAAGAAACTATTAGGTGATTGCATTAGCACATTTTCATATCACATTTTTTTTATCGAAAGCATGTCCCTATAGGGACTTCACAGGGAAGCAGCACTCTGGGGCGGGGGTGGAAAACTCATTCCATGGAGAAGGCTAAATCCCATTTTTAATGATGGTCTGCGGGCTGGAGTATGAGGCTGTGTTCCATCCTCAGCCCACAACAAAACTCCCACTGATGCCAAGAGAGAGTTGCACAAAAATCAAGGGAAAAAATATCGGTTCCTGTATTCCATAACCAGTTTTAGTTGTTCATTGCCTGATTGTTATATTCCACAATATGCTTCCCTGTAGAGTAACTCTTCCTTCTCTCTTCATCCTCCTTTCTTTCCACAGCTCATGTCTTTGGGGATGGGTAAACAAATCGCAGTACACTGATAGAGGGCAGGGACTTATGCATCAGCTGCTTTATAGTAACTGTCTGTGTGCCCACTCTT